CAGACTACGATGTGCAAGTAGAAGGACAATCTACAGAGCCTGCTTATCAGCACCTGAACAGATATATTGGTGAATGAGCTCTATCCCCTGTTCATCTAGTTCTGTGTATATTTATGTATGTGTGCATATTTGTGTATACGTATGTGTATGTATGTATGTATGTATGTATGTATGTATGTATGTATGTATGTATGTATGTATATACAGAGAGAGAGGGAGAGAGGGAGCTAGGTATCACAGGAGATAGGGTACTGAGCCTGGAGTCAGGAAGACATCTTTCCGAGTTCAAATCTGGCCTCAGACATTTACTGGCATTGTGACCCTGGGCAAGTCACTTCACCCTGTTTGCCTCAGTTTCCTCATCTGTCACATAAGCTGGAGAAGGAAATGGCAAACTACTCCAGTATCTTTGCCAAGAAAACCCCAAATGGGGGTCATGGAGAATCGGACATGACTGAAAACAACTAAACAGAAACAACTATACATACACACATACATACATATATGTGTGTGTATATATATATACTAATACATATACACATACATACACACACATGTATGACCAGCACTACAAATGGACCATTAAACAGAAGGAAAGAGTCAGGCAGATTATTTTAAGAAATTGCAAAACTTTTAATGACCTCAAACTTCTCACAGAAACAAAAGCCCATGTTTTTAATACCAATAATCCATCTATGCTGTTGTGTGGCCGTGTCAGAGAGCACTGGAGAGGCACATGCTAGGAAGGCTGAAGCAAATAACAAATAAGGAAATGGGGGTGGGCTGGTCACAAGGTAAGAACAAGGAAGCCCCAGCGCATAGCCAATGTGCTGCGCTGGTGTCTTTATAAGATTTGGAAAAACTGAGGAAAGCCAGCAGGATGTTGGGTAAATCCCCTGTAGCAAATTAGTGAAAAGGCACGAATAAGAGTTACCCAGGGTGGGGAGGTATGGATGGATCCTGGGTAGATCTGTAAATTGATAAATCAAGTCGTATAATCATTTTTACTACGTTGGTGCAGCCTAGCCATGAGCTCTGAGTATGTCTCCAATTATTTAAATTGCTCTTTGTAAATGTATCTGGAATGTGTCATTTTGTAGTTATTTGTTTGAGACTTATTGTTTTCTCCTGATCATGTTATTGATACACATTCTCTTATTTCCTTCTGATGCGTATTCTGTTGCTTTTGTGAGTTAATTTTGTACACTGCTTCTTTACTGAAGCGATTTCCTTAGTTTCTTTGCTGATTTTCTAAGCGAACCATCACATTACCAGCAAACAGGAATGGTTTTGTCTCTTTATTTCTATGCTTTTGATCTCTCTGTTTTATCAGCATTTCTAGAACACTGTCAAATAATCTCGGAGAAAGGAAGTATATTCTTGCATTACTCTGAATTTATTAGGAAAGCTTCTAGTGTTTCCCGTGGAATGTAATACTAGTTTTTTATTCTAGATGGACATTTTTATCGTTTTAAGAACAGTTCTTCTAGTCCTGTGCTTCGTATATTTTTAGCACAATGAGTGTTGTGCTTTGTCAAAGGCTTTTTTTGCATCTATTGATAAATTATGTGGCTTTAGATTTTTTTATATGATCATGTGTAAGTTTTCCTAAGGACCTAATGGTGAGGTGATAATCAAAACAAAAAGATGGTAAGAGAGCACTTAGCCACCCTTGATAAGTTCAAATCAATGCGCCTACATGAACTACATCCTTAAATGGCTAGCTGAAGGATTGCTGGGTTTTGTTATCTGATATTTGAAAAGACGTCAGAGAATGGGAGAAATACTGCAGGTCTGGAAAAAGGAAAATGTTTCCCAATTAAAAAAAAAAAAGAGAACAGAGTCTGTACCTTATAGGCCAGTGAGCTTGATTTTGATTACTGGCAAGATTCTAGGACAGATTATTAACCAGATTACTAGTAAAAATCTAGAAAAGGAAGCAATGATCACAGAGCAAGCATGGCTTCATCAAGAATACGTCATGCTAGGGGCAGCTAGGTGGTATAGAGCACTTGCCCTGAAGGCAGGAGGACCCAAGTTCAAATCTTGGCCTCAGATGCTAGCTGTGTGACCTTGGGCAAGTCACCTAACTCCTACTGTCTCAAAAAAAGGGGGGTGGGATGACAGGGCATGCTAGATGAACCTTATTTCCATTTTTGGACAGGGTTATAAACCTGGTGTATCAGGAAAATGCTGCAGATATCGTTTTCCTAGATTTCAGCCAAGTGTGTGATAAAGTATTTCACGCTTTTCTCATGCAAAAGGAGAAATGTGGACTAGCCACAATTAGATGATTTGGAATTGGTTGAATGGGTTATTAATGAGTTGATGTCAATCTGGAATGAGGTCCCCATCTGTGCATGGCTCTCTCCTGAATAACATTTTTATCAGTCAAAAAAGACATATTGATCAAATGTACAAAGCTGGGAGGGATAGCTAACACACAGGATGAATTACAATCCAAAAAATCTCGACAGGTTTGGGCACTCAGCTGAATCCAGTAAGATGAAATATAATAGGAATAAATGTAAACTCTTACTTTTGGGTACAAAAAAATGATTTTAGGAGTCCACAACAGAGAAGACATAATTAGACCAAAAATCTTGACTGTAACAGCCTACAAGGTAACTATGAGTCAACAACTAAGTCACAATGAGAGACAGAGCTTCCAGGAATAAGCCAGTAGTCCTGACAGCCTTCCCATGCCCTCATTGGACCACATCCCATGTCTTCTCTTCAGTCCTGGGGGCCACAGTTTAGGAAAAGGCATCGAAAGGCTGTAAGGGAGAGAGAACCTCCCTTTGCATCCTGATTCAGGCTTCTGGTAGCAGAGCTTGGTATGATCCATGTATGATAAAGAACCGAGGATATTTTAACCAGGTGAAGAAAAGGCTCAGAGGACAGGATGGCTGTCTTCAAGTATTTGAAGGGCTATTGTGAGGAAGAGGGATTGTTATTGTCCGGGACTGGAGGGAATAAATAGGAGCAAATTGGATGTTGCAGAGACAAATTTAGGAATCACCTCCTAACACTTAGAGCTGCTGAAAAACTGAATGGGAGACCTCAGGACACAGGGGCTTCCTCCCTCGCTGGACATTTCCAGGTAGATGATGGAGGCTGAGTTATATGTATGTCTTTTGGAGGACGGCAGGAGTACAAGGGCTACTCGGATCCATCCAGCTCTAAAATGATCTTGAGATTTTTTCCTCTTTTTTTTGGAGGTAACTGGGGTTAAGTGACTTGCCCAGGATCACACAGCTAGTAAGTGTCTGAGGCTGGATTTGAACTCAGGTCTTTCTCATTCCAGGGCTGGCGCTCTATGCTACCTAGCTGCCCCAAGATTCTTTTCCCTAGACCACTAGGACTCGCATCACTTGCACTTTGGACCGAGGGACTTCTCCTGGCCTTAACAATTCCAATTGTCTTATCAGAGACTATTTTGAATCCAACTGTAGCTCTGGAATTATAACCTTGATACTCCCATGTGCCACTGTCCACTTTGGTCCTCTTGTGGTTGAGGCCATCTTTGAAATTAACACTCCCTGCCCCACTTCCCCAGAATGACAATACTCATCAGATTTCAAACAAATGATGCTGAATTTCTCTTCTATATAGAAGATTACTCCTCCACAAACATGAAGAAAACATGAAACTAATATCCCTTTCCCCATTAAATTAAGCGGCAAAAACAAACAGGGTGTGGTGGTGAGGGGGAGGCCCCTGGATGGCTGTTTTACTCGTAAGCCCTTTGGGCTGGGGATGAACTTGAGCTGTCACTGAGGTCTAGTCGCTTTGGGTAGGTCCAGCCTCAATTCTGGGGCCCCTGGCATGAAAAGGCACCCTTAGAGAAAAGGCTTCAGGGCCCCCAACGGGTTGGTAACTAGGCCACAAGACCAGAGAGCCGCAGAGAAAAAAAAGACATGAATATTAAGTAACAAATGTCCTTTGAAAAGTATGACATAGCTAAAAACACTAGACAGTAGAAGCCATACCCCCTTTCAAGTTAGATCCCAAAGGGAATACTACACCCGTACAATCTCTCCACTCCTAATGCTGACTGGAAAATGGAAAGGGGTAGTGGGGGTATGTGTGAAAGCATGCCTAGGCAATGACGAGAGGGGGGTCGCCACTGCTTCACTGTGGGCCACTCCTAGGTCCAAATTGTGTGAGACTGAAGCAAACCCTAAACCCTTCTTCCGCACTTAAATCTCCTCCCCTCTTGCTTCTCTTATGTTTCCATCTTTGGATATCTCAAACTAAATTTCTGGCATGATTTCCACATAGATCTGCCTATAGGCAGGAACCTGGAACAGATAAGTTCTCCTACTAGCTCTAGAAAATTCCAGTGGGGAAAACGAATTCTCCAAAGGGAATTCCAATGGAGATGAGGCAGGGATTTTAGATGGCCCACAGCATTCAAAATGCTGCCCTGTTGGTCCTGATCAGAGGCACCTGAGAGTCACAAAGGGTCTCAGCCCATTCCTTGAGCTCTGAGGGTTTGTTTTTTTAAGGCAATTGGGGTTAAGTGATTTGCCCAGGGTCACACAACTAGTACTGTCAAGTGTTTGGTCTAAGCCACACTTGAACTCGGGTCCTCCTGACTTCCAGGACCGGTGCTCTATCCACTGTGCCACCTAGCTGCCTCACTGAGGTTCTTCTTTATCCCATATCCCAACTCCAAGAAGCAGCAGAAGGCTGAGCACTTTCATCAATAAATCAATTTATTTAAAAGAATATGTTACAATTAATTACACTAAGTGACATTACCAAACAATTTTAGAGTGGTTAGCTCTAGAACAAGGAATGAAAGAAACACTGTTAGCCATTGTGTGTTTTCTCTTCACATTTCTTAAATCACAAATAAAAAATACAAGATACTGCAGTGAAAATACAATTAGAGTTTCTCTCAAATAAATTAAAAGAGTGCATGGCCTGGGGAGAGCTGAAACCAGATCCTAAGCTGGAAAAGGGGAACATGATACAACATTGGTTTCCATGTCAGCAGTTGGCCCCAAACTTCCCACCCCACATTCTCCCTCTCTCCTTTTAGGGTTCCTTTCCATAGTTCTAACTGTCCATGCATTCCAAATTATTACTGTGGAGAGCAAGCCAATGCTGTCCTGGGATGAATGAGGCCTGAAGACATGCCTGGATCCGGGAGAGGATGGTGTGGAGGGACAGAGGAAGTGGTACAGGAAGACTGGAGGGAAAGGGGAGCTCAGTATATCCCCAACACCCACCACTAAGGTCAAAAATGTCCTCTTCCTATATGCACACCACATCTTCCTCATCCCCAAGATAAAGTGCCACTAAACATGGAAAGGAATACTAGGAGGGCATAATGAGATTCAACCATAGGGCCCTCACGTGCTAACAATCAAACTAGCCCACAGCCTTAGGGTGTGACAATCTCCTGAACAGAAGAGCAGCCACAGCAGGTCTACAAGTCACCCAGGACTGGGAACCCTTGGGGAAAAATGCTGCCCAAGAGCCAGGCCCCTAGGCTGATGGAGTCAGGGAATGGGACAGAAAAAGAAAGCCCTTCTGAGGGCCTCAGCCTGCTGTTCCAGATACTGAATCGGACCTAAAAGGTAAGCCTGTAAGTGGCTCACCTGGAGCAGTCAACAGAAGTTACTTAAGTAGGCCAGGGTTGGGGCTTTGGACCTTTGATTCTAATTTCTCCATGAGAGCTCAGGCCAAGAAGCTAACACGAGCACCCCTAGATCTGTACCGTAGCTGAGCCAATTCCCTATGGGATTTAGGAGTGAGGATAGGAAAAGCATGAGACCATTAAAAACCATCCGATGCTTAGGCAAAGAATAAAGTCAGAGACTAGCTAAAGATCATGGGCCTTGGGAGACGGGAGGCCTGGCCAAAGGGCACCTCCCTAAAGTGCAGGAGTGTGCTGAGGTCTGCTCTTTTCCTCTGTTTCCCCACAGCTCTCAGCACTTGTCTCAGAGAACAAAAACTACTCGGGAGCCAAACAGAGTGGGAGGAAGTGGGAGGGGACCGGGAAGACCCTGCTGGCTCTAGTTGGGGTACATATAGGCTGTGCCACCCTCAAGACGGAAAGCAGAGGGAACTACAAATGAGAGGGAGGATGTCAGGCCTAACACGGGCTCGTGGAGAGATGGGCTCATTTTCCTAACCTACAGGATCCTGGGGCCACGCTGACCTTTGCCACCAGAAACCTGAGGTACAGTGAGAGGGGGAAAGGTCAGCACAGCAGACAAGGTCTCTTCCTCTCCACTGCAAATGGGATGCTTTGTTCATGACGCAGCTTCAAGAGGGGACTGCCCACAGACCATCACATCCAGCCTTCCTGGCATCTTTCCCTAGGGCTCCATTCCCTGAATGCCCAAGCATAAAGGGATAAACATACAGTGTCAGGAAGGGACTATGGCAGCTGCAGCATACTGTAGAGATGGGGGGAACTCATACAGAGGGGAAACTGAAAAGAAAATCAAGAGTACATTATCTGGAAGGCATGGATACCTCACACTTCCTCCCCAATGTTGTCTTTATATTACCATGCAAAGAGGGCAGACAAATCCAAATGACATTAACTATGTCTCTCTCACTATTCTGCAGCCAGCAATTCTGCCATTCGAGGATTCTCTGGTTGGTCTGTCCCTCCCCACGACAGAGAGGGGCAGGTTTCAATCATCTTGAAATGTGAACAAAACTCTGGCCAAAAACCCCCTAGTGGCTTGGAGGAGGAGGCCAGCATATTCTCTTTCCAAAGCTTTTGGCTCAGTCCTAAGTTGGTTAAAAACCAAAATGAAAAAGACAATCTTGTATAAAAGCCTTCAAATGTGGATTCACTTCCTGCAACTTTAAACTTTCAGCACATTCTTGAGCTCTGCAAAGTCTGATTCCCAGTCCACCTGAGTTAGCAGTGATGGAGAGGCGTTCTATGCAGACCCAAATCACCAGGTGGGCAGATGCCAGGAAGACAGGGTGGGAAAGAGAGGAAGAAAAGTAGACTCACAACTTTCTGCAAATATATTTCTGGTTTTGAGATACAGATCACAAAAAAATAAATTTCAAACCCTTGGCAAGCCCTGCTCAAGAGAGACTAGGAGCCTCAATTTAGACTTACTTTCCATAAAGCTGACCAAGCCACCCTCATGACTTCAGAGTTTGTTTTTTTAGGAGGAGGAGAGAGACTGAGAAGTGTGTTAACAGTAGCACCCCATGCTACCCTATCCTAGTGTTTTTAATGTAGCCCACACAGAGCCCCTTTAAAAGCAGCTAGCTTGTCTCAAAGGTCTAACAAGTCAGAACAACAGGCTCTGTGGGTGGAAAAGGTTCCCCTTTTCACTGTGTCTCTCAATTCCAGTCATCCACCATTTCTGATAGAGCTCCTGCCTTGGATCTCAACTGATCTCCATGGTGAAGGTTGGGGTTAGTTAGCAGAGCAAAGGGCCAAGGATCTCAATTATTCATAAAACCACGAACAAATCCCTCCCCCTAACACTGCCGCCCTATGAAGCTATTTTAAAACCCATGACGGTGTTCTAGTTGGGTGAAGTGCTTATATATACACAGGGTATGACTTCCCTTTTCTTCCTCCATACAAAGCCAAGTTTCATGTCCAAAGCTGTCAGGTCTAGAACCATTCCTTATCACTAGTTCTGGAGAAAGTGATTCTGAGGGGTGGACAGAGGAACATGACCACCACAAGGCACGTCTGGGTTTTCTGGAGGAAATGGACCACACACAGAACAATCTCCAGTGCCCACCCCACATCTGTACTGCTTAACCCCAGGACACTGGTGAAGCCTGGGAGAGCTCCTCAGAGAAGCAGAGGCGTGAAGTGGAACAGGGCTGGGGAAAGGTGAGGAACGAGAAGGATATGGAAGCTGGGCATCTTTCTCAGAGCCAAGAGGCAGCCTTGACCAAGTCTTCTGGTTAAGCACACTACCCCTGCCAGACAAGAATCTTTTCCTCTCCCCAGCATCTCTGCCCTCCAGCCTCCTGGAAAGCAAAAGGAACCACGCTTCTTGCCTTTGAGGCTCCATGTCAACCTCTAGCCAGAATCCGCACCCAACACAAATAAAGGGAGAATAAAAACCCAAGCAGGTTGTAAACTTTTCAAGTCCTTCATGAGGAGAGGTATTTTCCCTGTAATTTTTTTCTTTTTTTTTTTTTAAAAGTTTGTTTCAAAGGAAAAAAAAGAACGAGAGAGAGATAAGAGTAATGAAACCTGGTGAAAGGTGTGTAAAAATGTAAGCTAAAAAAGGTACTGCCGTCAATATGAAATTTAAAAAGAAATATATATGTATATACGTGCAGCTAATTTGTGTATATATATATAATTCTTTTTACATACATACATATATACGTTTGAACAGTGCAAATGGATGGAGTCCATAGTTCCAGTTTTAAAAATAGAGTCCAAGGAGAGTCTGTTGGTGGGAGGCCTGGGCAAAAGACAAAGACCCCTCTAGCGGCTGGGCGGGGCGCATTGGCTTTCCAGGTGACCACTTGGTTGGCTTCTGGTGCTGACCATCCTATGTTTTCTACCAGCTCAATTCCAGACATGAAATTCACAAAGGGGATTACTAATATTCAGTTTAGGGCTTTTTTAATACAATGACTTTTTTTTTCCTTTTTCTCCTCTTTTGTAAGTGTTAATGGTTACTCTGACATAGGGAGTGGAAGGGGGGGAGAAAGAACATATGAAGGGGGAAGAGGGGAGGGAATGAGGGGGTGGGGCTAGGTGGCCATATCCCTCTGCTGTGACCTGGCCATCTGGAAAATGTTCTGAAAGGAAAAAAGAGAAAAAAAAAAAGCCTGGTTATGAGGGAGCCTTGGGAGCCCCACACACATTTCCAGTGTGGAAAACCCGAGACACAGAAGCTGTGCAGGTAACATTTGAGGGGGGGCAGCAGAGCATATCTCCTCCCCATGCCATCCACATAAATGCCCAGACCCAGGGCTAGGGCTGACATCTCCAGACGGCCTCTTTTGTTACATCAAAATGCCTCTTTTCATTCCATAGGCTGAGCTGTCCTTCCTAAAACCCTTTACGTTCTTTCTGAAGAGTAAGTGGCCAGCTACAAAAGCAGCTTCCTAGGAGATGATGCCCAGCACCGGCTCAGATAAGGACCGTGAGAGAGGCAGCAAAGCACCTGCCCACCCACGAGGGCAGAAAATCTTGACCAAGACTCTGTTCCCGATCAGTGCCCTGCTCAGAGCCACGTCCCAGAGCCAGCTCTTGTGGGCCCAGGGTCCTGATTCAGGCCTGCCATACTGGGAGGTAGGGGGCAGAGGGAGGAGAGAAGAGATCAGAAAAAAAGACAAGACAGCACAGGCTCTCAACAGCCACTGCTTGCTGGCTTAGCCCGATTCCCACCCAGCACATACCAAAGTGTCTCTTGGAATACTTTCCTGGGCTGTGTGTTGTCTGCAATGGAGACTCATGGGGGGGGGGGCGGGAAGAGCAGTGGGAAGGAAAGGAGGAGGCAACTGCAGGGAGCCAGGCCACTGGCCCAACATCCTCTGTTCAAAGAAGCAAAGACCAATGAGCAGAGCTCTGAGTTACCTCTTTCCTCCACTTGAGTTCGCAGAACACCCTCTCGAAGCACTCGTGCATGTAATTGAACTGAAAGAGAAGCAGCCGCACTCACCACCCCTTCACTGCCAGGCCCCCTCCCAGGGTCCACCCTTCCCCCAACTCCCTTAGGACAAGGATAAAGGGGGCACACAGGTGGAGAGCAGCCAATGGGAAGCCCTCCCCAGCTCATCCCCAGCTCTCTGGCTCCTCCTTGTGGCTGACTGAAAAGAGGACATGGCTCCATCTACCACCTTTTCGGGGCCAGAGGGACAAGGGGAGCTTGACTCTGAAGGACCAGCCTGGGGTTCTGCGCCCCAGACAGGTGCAGAAGACAAGAGTATTCCCACTGTGCTCCTCAGCTGGCTGACTCTCAGCTTTATGTCCATTGAGCTTTTCCAAAACATGCAACCCATGTGACCACTCACATAGGGTGTGAAGATTTTAACCCATCGAGGCTTCTTCTCTCCTCGCGCATATTCAAAACAGAAAGCCATTCCCTCTTCGTCAGTGTCCCATCGCTGCATCTCATCCCACTCAAAGGCTATTACCTGGTTCTGAACATCAGAGAGCAAAACATCAAGGGAGGGCTGAGGATGGGAGCTGGACGGGGTCTGGGTCAGCAGCAAGGGCAGAAGGGATGGAGAAGTGCAAGGCCAGGGCGGGCCAGGAAGGAAGAACAGAACAGCAGCTGGACAACGAAGATGGGAAGCAACAGAGCTCTACTGCCAGCTCGCCAGGCCCAGCCACACGGTTGTGCTTCGCTTCTCTTCCAAGGAGAAGGGCTCAACGTATGGCCAATGGCTTTGGCATCAAGTCCATACCAAACATACGTCTTCACTCTCGTGGAAGTCTCGCTAGTGATGTCTCCCCTCATTTCCCCCGGCCTTTGGCATGGCTCTCACCTCAAGCTGCCCTTCTTCCGTGCAGGCATGTAGCTTAAAGTGCGTGATGCTGATGGCTGTGATGACATGTCCCTTCCGCCTAGAGTCACAGGAACAGTGGGGGAAGATAATCTCATTGTAGCCCTCACAGGTCCTAAGCATGTTGAGGTACTGGGGAAAGGAAGGAGGAAAGCGGTATCACTAGGAAGTCAACTTCCTACAGAGAAGCTAGGAAGAAAGAAAAGCACAAGAGACAGAAAAGGTTATGGGGGGGGGGGGAAGAATGCCCCACCCCTCCAGCACCCAGAGACCTGCCTCTGCATCTCCACCTCTTAAAGGAGGGGAGAAACGACCGCCTCTCTCACTGCTCAGAAGGGGCAGGAGGGAGGACAGCAGAAGCCCTCACATCATTCATTCCTGTGCCTTCCTTTCACAGAGCCCAGACCCACAGGAATCTAGATACCCCTTTATTAAGGGGACCCAGGAAAGAGAGCTTGGCCGCCTCTCTCCCCTTTCCTTCTGCCTCAGGGAAGGTAGCAGTCTCATCCCAAGGAGGTAGGTGGTAAAGGTCTTCTCTACAGGAATTTCCTAAAAATACTTGGGATTAAAATTTAATGGATTGCAATAGACAGTAACGATCACTGACATTCAGACAGCACTTTTTAAGGTTCACACAGGACAAAGCCCTCTCACTTAAGCCTCACTGAGGTGCAGAGGTAAAAAGATCTGACCCCAGTCACACAGCTCCTGACTCCAGCACTGCCTACTACCCTGGGCTTCTTGGGATTCACACGTGGTGCCACTCATGAATCAGGGCAGGTCTCCTCTAGTTAAGGAGGGCCTATGGATCCTAACCTCAGGTGTTTCCCATGCCCTTTGAGTTTGCAGAGGAAGGTAAGGAGCGCTGTATGAAAATCCTGAAGAATGGCTTATGGATTCTGTCCTGAACTCCATAAGAGGCCTCCAGGAAACATTCCAATAGCCTTGAGCCTTCACACTCTCAATCACACGTCATCAAGGAGACAGGGAATATGGGGGGATGTTAACAGAGAGCCAAAGATAAAAGCACCCCCCCAACACACACACACCCCTTTTAAGTTCACTAGGCTGGCAACTAGAGTGGAATGTCCTGTGAAGCTGGCAGCTCGAGGGGAAAAAAGGAAACAACAACTCTAGAACGGTAGGAGGAAATTCCTGCTGGACTTTGAGGCCAACAAACGGTACCAGAGACAACAGATGCCACCAGGGTTTCCACTAAACAATAAGAGAGCCCTAGGCAAATCACCTAATGTGCTCCCTCCCCTCCCTTAACATTTCCATGCAGGTTAAAAAAAAAAAGCAAAAATTAATCATAAAGGCAGCCTTAGAGGGCAGAAGCAGCCCCGGGAGCAAAGGGCCCGGGAGGATCCCACACCCTCCCACCCAGCATTGGCTCTGGCTTCCACTCTCTTCCCCACCCCCCACCCTCCTCTGGTACCCACAGACACAGCTGAGCCTTGAATCTAGGGAGAAAGAGATTCAGCCTCTCAGCATGTTCATCGGAAGCTCTCCATGGGCTGAATCAAAAGCGGATTCAGCTAGAAAAATGCTTTGGTAAGATTTCTACAATTCTCAGAGCATTTTTGGAGCCTTAAAGCTGGTTCTTCCTGCCTTCTTTTGTCACTGAGAAATGCTCAGTACAAACAGGGACAGCCCTAGAGTCCGGAAAGACCCGAGGCCAAAGTCCCTTTGGATTCGTCCCAGTTGTGTGACCACAGAAGGGCCCATAACCTCCTCATCTGCAAAAGGACAAAGCTAATTAATCCTTGTATGCCCTACCTCAGAGGGCTATTGTAAGGAAAACGACTGTTCAACCTCAAAGTGCTCAATGAAAGGTGAGTTATCACCAGCAACAACCCTTTAGGAAGTAATAGGACTTAGGAAGACATTTTAGACCATAACCTAGATGAAAACCAAGATCACCCTGAGCTGGGTGAGGAGGCAAGGGGAAGTCTCAGGGGGTCAGTTTAAGGCCAGTGATCCCAATCATATTGATCTGAATCTCTCTTTTACGGGGTACATGTTTGAGGATAGGGAGAGAATGACCTGAAATTGATGGCATGTGATTTTTCATTAAAGTTAGAGAGGGAAGAGATGTGGGTTTGGTCAACGGATAAGAGGTTTAGAAATGAGACAAACCCAAAGTTCCCACACAACAAAAGTGGGACTTTGTTTACAACCATATCCAGGTTAAGAGTCATAGATGTACATTTACAACACATGGTTATGAGAGCGTTAGCCTAAGGCACTGAGAATGACATTCTTTGCCTTAAACACTATTTAAACAGGTGCCCCTATCAAACAAAACAATAATAGCAACTCACACGACTTACAAAGCACTTTCCTCAAGGTGAAAAGTATAGTAAGGGTCGTTTCAAGAGTGTTCAATATTCATCAAGGTAGGCAAATACAGAATTAGAGGAATTATTAAAGCAGGGACTCTGGGCTTAACAGAGCAGAACGCTTCTGGTGAGCACGACAAGGTGCACTTTGGAGGAATGTAAATTCCCCAAACAACTTGCCGAGGGTCAAACCAGGTATTAAAAGGTGCCCACTAAGCACATTCCCCCCATCTAACTCACAGACTGACATGGAAATCCCTGGTCTGTCAGCTCTGCAAAAGAACACGGAGTCATGGAAAAGCCCAGCATGCACAGATACCGTCTAGATGTGATTTCAGTCTCTGAGTGCAAGTCAGGAAGCAGAGCACTATCCCACATTCCACCTTCCTTTTTGTTGGTGGTGCTGGTGGTGAGGCAATTGGGGTTAAGTGACTTGCCCAGAGTCACACAGCTAGTGAGTGGCATGTGTCTGAGGCCGAATTTGAACTCAGGTCCTCCTGACTCTGGGGCCAGTGCTCTATCCACTGCGCCCCCCAGCTGCCCCTCCTGCATTCTACCTTCAACAGAAACTGAAATTCAGTCCAACTCAGAGAACTGGAAGGGGACAGGAAAGCAAACATGTATTTTTTTTTTTTTTGCTTTTTGGTGAGGCAATCGGGGTTAAGTGACTTGCCCAAGGTCACACAGCTAGTAAGTGTTAAGTGTCTGAGGCTGGATTTGAACTCAGGTCCTTCCGACTCCAAGGCCAGAGCTCTATTCACTGCGCCACCTAGCTGCCCCCCAAACACGTATTTTAATGCAAACCCTGGCAAGGATGTGAGCAGTCCTCTCGAGGTTTTTGGCCATCCCCTTATGCATTAAGTTTTAGGAAAGTGTCATAAAACCATACCACCTGACTGGAAGGACCCTATTACGATGCATAAGAAGAGATTTTTGGAACAGGAAGCGTCACTTATACAAAGCTTACTTTTTCCTGGCAGTCTGAATATCTCTACTGTGCAGAGGGACAACTCAAGCACACTGAGGGGGGGTCAATGAACTACCCCAAATCTTACAACAGATGAGGAGCAGGGTCAAGGCAGAAACCCAGCTCCCAACCCCCTTGTTTGAGCTGTGTCACCAGGACTGCATTACTCCCCTGCAAATGCGCTGGGGTGAGGGGGGTTTTTTTGCCATGAGGGAAGTTCAACCCCAGATTTAAGGGGAACACAAACCTACCATAACCATCTTCCTCTGTTCACACAGCTTCTGCAACTGGTATGATTTTTCCTCTGCTTTGATATAACCTTTTTTCACGTCATCAACAGCCTAATATCCAAACATAAGCAAAAAAGAGAGGGAAGGAAAAATGATTGTTAACATTAGGTCTTTAGAAAACTGGAGGAACAGATTAATTTCCAGAGTTATTCTATTCATTCTGACCATTATTTGCTTCATGAAAGACTGCTAGGTACACTGATTCAACAATCACCAGCTACTAGATAAAAACTCTCAACTTCTTAGCCTAACACTCAAGACCGTCCGTCATCTGGCCCCAGCCCATTTCTCCAGCTTTATCTCACACCACCCTCCATCACATTGTCTAAGCTTCAGGCAGGCTGAGCTATTACTCACCTTCTAAGGAACACGCCCCTCCTTCCCCATTATCTCCATCTATCAACATCATACCCAGTCTTCAAGGCCCAGCTCACCTCGCAGTGATCTCTTCATTATATGCTGCCCTAGAACTCTATGCTCCTCATATATTTATCACATTCTAATCTGCATTTTATTTATCTATGTGTATGAAATAATAATTAAATTCAGCAAACATATTATTAAGCACCTATTAAAACGCAAGGTACCATGTTAGTTGATGCAAATGCCAAGACAAGAAAGAAACAAGGAACTTAACAGTCTACTGGGAGGAAACAACATGCCTGCAGATAATCACATACAAAATAAACACATTTCTATTGCACTTTTAAAGCTTTATCAAGTTTTCTTCTTCCAAAACAACTGTATAAGGTCATTTCATAGACGGAAGAAACTGAAGCTCACAAATCATATGACTTGCCTCTGGTTTTACTGTTACTAAGTATTAGAATGCAAATTCAGGTCTTATGACTCTAAGTCCAATACTCTGTCCATGACATCATGGCTACCTCCTAACATATAAATTCACTCCTATAAGATTTTTTAAAAAAAATTTATCTGGCCTCTGAAATATCAATGTAGGTACTTCCTCTACCAAGCAGATCAGCATCTTTGTGCCTTTCAGTTGTAGAGAGCTGCCTGGGTCACTCAGAAGTTAAGTGACTTGCCCAAGTTCACAGAACCAGGCTGACACAGAGACCAAACCTGAACCCAGGTCCCCTGATTAAGAGTCTGGCTCTCTACCCTGTCATGCTGCCTTTAGAGATTGTAAACTTAACTGCAGAAACTGAGCATTGTATCTATCTCCCCACCACTCCCCAGCTGCAAAAGGCTTTGTTCTTCTACTTCAGTGGACAGATGAGCCAGGAATATGGTCCTGATGCAAATGGCCCCTCATCAAAACCAGCCTTTTCCACTTTTCTGATCTATGTCCATGTTTACCCAGAAATCCTCCACAGACCACCGACCCTCTAAATCTTTAATACTTTGTTGGTACAAATGGCTGTGCACACAACACCCAGGATTATCCACGGTGTTGCTCTCTCTTGCTGTATCCCCCACCTGCTTTTCCAGTTCTGTTCTGGCTCACACCACTGGTGGCAATATGCTGCCACCTGCTAACAACCATCACGTCTACTTCTTTTACCTCTTGGTCACCTGTAATTTTGATTCTTCTGGAACCATAGTGTTGCATCGCACAACCTTACGGTATCACTGAGCAAATACTGACGCTGAAAACATAAGCTTCTACGTCAGAGAAGAGCTTGGGATCGCTGAAACGGCACGGCTTCGGGTTTCATTAAAGAGATCTGCAGTATTCTAGTACTCTGTTATTCACAAAGGAGCATCTGCAATATCTCGCTGTTGAGAATGAATTCCTCTTTCTTTTTGACACTGTGCAAGATATCCTCAATAACAATGAAAAACATTTTTACCAAGCCTGTCTCTCCCTGATTTATACTTTGTTTGTAACATTGACAATTAAACGATCTTTAAAATTACATCTTACATTGTCTTTTTATATATATATATATGAAGGACACCTTGATGGAGAACAGTCTTTAATACTGTATTTTAGATTTAGTAAATCAAATACTTTTCTGTAATCAAACGATAGTTATAGTAGTATCTTATATCTCTACACTACTTAGTCAACTGTGAGACTAAAAACTGGTCTACTATAGAAAACTGGCTATGAAAGCCTGCTTCTTCTCTCTCATGTCTTCATCAAGGAAGCCCTCCATATGTGACTAGACCATTCTCACAAAATTTATATGGATGAGAAAGTAGTCATATGGGTTAACAGCTGCAAATGTCTTTTCATTTAATTTTATTTTGGTATTAATACCATCAGTAATCTTTTCTATTTTCACAGATATCTTGAAAGTCCATCCCCAAGTGCCTTCAGTCCACTGACCTAATATTTATCAAATCCACCTTTCTTATTCTAGTTTTGCTTGCCAGTACATTCAATCTTGACCTCTTGCTTTGCCACTGTTTTTCTGGCTAATTACCTTATCCCCACTGATCTTCCACCGTTTTAAACCTGTGAATCCATATATCCCTAGGTAACCCCTGCCACATGACTTCTCTCTTAACTCTCCAGGACTTAGCAGGAGAAAGTTGCAAAATTAAGCTGATTTCACGCACTAAAAAGCAATGGTGTATAACATCAGCTGGGGACTTGCTGATGCACAATACTTTTATTCTATCCTATCAACTCATCTCATTCCCCAGACTGAATGTCCCAGATCTTTTTTCTCTTTTATTGCAAGTAACTGCACTCCTACTTCACTGAAAAGATCCAGACAAAAGTTCTTAGCTGTCTGCCTTCATTCCTTAAATGTTTTTAGTATCATCACCCATTTTCTTCTTTTCCTTCCAGTCAAAAAAGAAAAGGTATTCTATTGCAAAGGCTAACCCTTAAGAACCTGCAACTGTAAACCTATTATCTCCATCCTCCTCCAAGAACCTAGCCTGGCAGCCACCTTTCTCTCTCACATGCACTTTCAGAATTTCTTTTCTCTGACTCTTTTCCAATTGCCTTCACACATGCTCAGGTCTCCCAAATATTTTTAAAGCCATCCTGTGACAATCTCACCAGCATGCTGCTAATGGAAGCCTTATGACTAACCTCCCTCAGCCTCTTCTCTCTTCTCATTAGAAGGCTTGGAAGGCAGAATACCAAACTCCTCCCAAATATTTTTAAAGCCTTCCTGTGACTATCCAGATAGTCTATTCCACTGCCACCCCATCTCTCCTCCCTTGCTACGCTCCTTAGAAAAGTCTTCTCTACTTTTTCTCTACCCACCTTCCCAACTCCAAACAATATGGTTCCAACTCTACCACTGTTCTGAAACCACTCTAAAATTAACAGTAGCTTCACAGTCAACCAAATAAAAAACTCATCAGCCCTCATTCTCCTTGACATCTCTGCAGCTTTCAACACTGGTGACCACGCCCCATCCCTACTAGTTAGTCTATACTTTTTGGGGACCAGTCATAGGATCACTGAATAACAGACCATAAAGAAAGGACCATAGAGACCATCTTAACCTATTCCTCTTATCTTACATTTGAGGAAACTGAGTCACCATTCTTCTAGCTTTCGCCTTTCCCTCTGAACTATTCCTTTTTCATCTCCCCCCGCCCTAGTCCTCATTTCCTCTTCCCAAACATTTAGTTAAGGTGTTCTCCGAGAGTCTGTCTTTGCCTGCCTTCTCTTTTCTATTTCTACTCTCTTAATAATCTTGTTCTGTGACATCAACCACAACCTCTATGCAGACAACTCAACTCTGTATTTATCTCTGAGATATCTCTCTTTTGTGCTCCAGATTCAAATCCAAAAGGCATCCAGATGCCTACCTGCCTACCAGCACCCCGAGTAAAATTCAACATGTCCAAACAGGCACTTTATTAATTAATCTCCCTCAACAGGTCTACTCTTCATCATAACTTCATTCATCACGTCAATGTCAACAGCACCGCATCTCATTTTAGTCCCCACTTTTGAGACCTGGGGATCACAGCTTCAACGCTTTCCTCTCCCTAACTGGTGATAAACTGTCAGCTACTAAGTCTTATCAACTCACAATAGCATCTTACTGCCCCCTCTCTGCTCCCGCTGGTACAACCTTAGTCCAGGGCTTTATCATCTGGGTACCTATCCGGACTGCTATAATAGCCTCGTAAAAAGTCTTTCAGCAAAAGACTTGCTTCCCCATCCAAACCTACCTTGCTACTGTTGCCAAAATAATCTTCTTTGTGAACAAATCTGGTTATGTCACACTTCTGTTCAAAGCCTTTCAACTGCTTATCAAGGAGACTTCAAACATTTTTGCCTGGCATTCAGGGTGTCACATTACCTATGTTTAACCCTGTACTTCTTAACACTTTTATCAAAGATTTTAATAAAGGCATAGATGCCAAGCTTCAGTCTTTATTACCAATTGCCTATTGGATATTGCAGGCCAAATGTCCCTGACAATCTTAAATGAGGCTCCCAAAATAAAGGTGATCAGTGGAATCTCTGCATCTGCTGCTCTGCCTGATGGAGCTGGTCTTAACTCCACAAACAAGATGCCCCTCCCAGGATAAGCTCATCACTTCTAATCTCACCATCATGCTGCTAATGGAAGCCTTATGACTCTCCCTCCCTCAGCTTCTTCTCTCCTGTGATTCAACAGCTTGGAAGGCAGAATACCAAGCTCCTCCCAATGCTTTCCTTTAGAGAGGGCAGAAAATTCACACTCTTCACCTCTTGCTCTGCCTGGTCTCTACTCCACGGAACAAGATGCCCCTGGTCCCCCCCGGTTTCTCCCCTGCCTCCTTACTGTATTGTTTCCCCCTCTCCCATTAGATTTTGAAGTTCTTTGAGGGAAGGGACTTTCTTTTTATTATATCTCCAACGCTTAGCATAGTTCCTGGCACATAGCAGGTGCTTAATAAATATTTATTAGATTGGATTCTAGACACTAAAAGTCTATTAATATAGCCAAAAATCAAAAATCAAAATTGGTTTTGTTTCTGCAACATCACACTGCTGACTCCATGAACTTGTAGTCAACTAAGCCTAAAAGTCTTTTTCACAAGATGTTTTCATCCATTCTTTCCCCACACAGTTGATATTAATTACTCTAACCTACTGAGACTGACCTGAAATCCTATTCTATCATGCAAAGTGTCACTAAATAAATTCACTCATCCCACAACATTTATTAAATACCTAAGGTGTGCAGATGTGCAAAGCACTAGGTCAGTTGATGGAGGAGATCTAAAATGTAGATAAGCCATGGTTCTGGCCCTCTGAACTTAGAGCCTAGCATTAGCTATCCTTTGTCATTTGCCAATTGTGATAAACAGGCTGTCAACTAGCCAAAAGACTGAAATTATTATCTACCAATTACAAACGAAAAGAAAGTCTGAGCCAGGCAAGAAGGCCAGTGTACCCACCTGATGGAAGAAGTAGGTAACTGCGAGGTCGTTATCATTCAGAAGAACCTCCTCTTCTGTAGTAAAGAGCCATTTTCGGATAGTCAGGCAGGTGCCTGGCACAGCTGATGTGTAGTTCTGGACATAGAGCTTGTGAGGGAATTCATTGGGAGCCAGCTTACGTACTACAAGGTAGAGAAAAAACACGAAGCTCATAGAACCAGGGGGAAAAGATATAAATTTTCCTGATTCAGACTGCACAGACCAAATTGGGAATGGCAAGCTATTACCCAAATGGGATTAGACTACCAGCACTTCAAGAGCATAAATAAGCATTTGCCTAGACAAATCTGTCTCTCTCATCCTTTCAACTCTTCACAAACTGACTGGCATTCCTTTCTCTGTCACCTGATCAACAGGTGACATGCTAATTAAGTTAACATGCCAATAGCAATAGCTGCCTCCAATTCCTCTCCAGCTAAAATATCTGACCGACTCTTTGGTCAATTACATCCCAGCTGCTGTCTACAGAACATATTTTAAAAAGGCTTTCCTTCATACAGCTAAGTATTTTCAAACTCTCAGGTTTCAATTCTCAACAAGTTATTTTCACTACAGATGGGTGAAAAGTTCTCTACCAAAGTGAATCCTAAAATGCACTCTTCAAAATTACATATCTTCTGAGAATTGCTAATTCCCATGCCTAATAGTATATAAGCAGGAACTGCAAAAACCACTTTTAGTTCCTACAGTGTCTTTCTAAAGAATAGCCAAGAAAATTCCTCCTCGTGATCTGCCTTCATCAAAAGATAAAGAATGAAGTTAAACCCTTTCTATCTGACAACATAAAAAAAGCAAAATCTGGAGAAGAAAAGTAATTTGCCTATAGGACAAAGGCAAGGTTGGGATTAGAATCCAAGTATCCTGGTGCCCCCTTTGGGAGTCTTTTCTTTTTCCCCTTTCAATTCAGTTTGTTTTATTTTCAGTTCCAAATTCTCTCCTTCCTTCTTCCCTCCGCCCTACTCATATTTAGAAGGTAACAAAAGCAAAACCCATTACAAATATGTATAACCACACACAAATTCCTACATCAGTCATGTCCAAAAAAAAGAAAGAAAAGGAAAAAAAAATGAAGACAAAAGAAAGAAAGAGAAAAGAAAAAAAAGATCCTTTAATATGCACTTGGGGTCCATCAATTCTCTATCTGGAGAACAGCAGAATGTTTCATTATGAGTCCCCTGGAATTGTGGTTGAACATTGCGTTGATCAGAGTTACTAAGTTTTGAAAAGCTGATTATCTTTACAATATTGTTGTTATTGTATAAATTGTTCTTCTGTTTCAGCTCACTGAATTTTGCATCAATTTATACAAGCCTTCCCAGGTTTCTCTGAAGTTATCCCCTTCATCATTTCTTACAGCACAATAGTATTCCATCACATTCATTTACTGTAACTTGTTTGGCCGTTCCCCAATTGATAGGCATCCCTTCAGTTTCTGAATCTTTGCCACCACAGAGATACTACAAGTATTTCTTGTACATATGGGTCCTTTTCTTCTTTCTTTGATCTCTTTGGGGTATAGACTTAGTACCTCTTGGGACCTCTTCCTGTCGTGGTGCCCTGCCTCACCCTTCTTTCAGTCTCTGGGCACTAGAATGCTACCTACTGCTGCTAAATTAGTCATGCCCACCATCCCCTCCCTCCCCACACTGATCACGGACCCTTCTGTCCACCTCAAAAGCTGCACTTGGCTAGAATAGTGAAGCTTCCGATCAGAATTCAGTCTGATGCATTTTCGAGATCTTTGTCAAACAGGCGTGTTCAGAGAGCTAAGCTAAAATGCTTCATCTCATACCACCCTGACTCCACCCCTTGGGAGTCTTCATCAAATGATTCTGTCTTCCTTTCTAATAATGCAAATAATTAATCCATGAGCTATCAACTTCCTTGTAATCTTATTCACATGTGTCTCTATAAGAAGTTCAATAGGTCAAACTGATCTAGGGACAGAAAGAGAACAAAATAGCAGGCGGAAAATAAACTTGTTCTAGCTCTGAGACTAGACCACAGGCCTATTTGTTGTTTGTCCTTTGTTCTCGAAGATAGGGAAGGTGATGCCATGATTTGCAAGTGAATTGGATTTCAGTGAGGGAGGGCTGCCAAAGTCACCAGCCTCAACTTTCTCTCCTCCAGAGCCGTCTGGGTCCAGCAGCCAGATACAGATCAGGATGACTGGGGATGGCCTCCACGGGCCTATGTAACTGAAGGATGAAGGATCTAATCAACCAACACCATCCATGCTCTTCCTATCCTCATTCCCGCAATTTCAGTGCTGACACAGAACAGGACCATGCTTAGTAAGAGATCAACGTCATGTAAGAGTGAATCCTCTGACTTCCTTTCCAATGAGTTACTGGGAACCCCTCTTCCCCATCCCATCATACCTTATTACCCACTGGAAGAATGTTTCTGAATGCCTGAACTTCTCAAGAACTTCTTAGGAGGGAGTTTAGGAATCAAGAGTGTTGATTCCTCCACTGCTGAAAAAGTCCCCCCTCCCCCATCCCAATTAAACTTTGTGGAAAAAGCATTTAGAATCCTAATTAAATTTAAAAATTTACTTCTTCTCAGGACTATTCCCATAGAAGAACAAAGATTTAAAATTTTAGTTTGGAGAAAAAAACTAAAGGTAGACACAATGTCCAAAACTGTGCCTAATTCACTCAGGAACAGCAGACAGCATGTAACTGTGCCAGAAAGAAATCAGGCATCTGCCCTAAGATGCTGTAGAATAATCTGTATTTTGAAAGAGGAAGGTAGCAGCAGTGACCTAACACTTCTGAAGCTGCTGCTGAATGACTAAGCCTCAAGGTCTACATGCCTGACAAAGAGGATTCCAAATGATGAGATTTCCTTTACTTTAGGGTCCCACCCCCCCCACTCCACCCCACCCCCTGCCCCAGTAGGTTATTCCAACCTGACAATTTACTAAAAGTTTTGAATCCCAAAGTAAAATACTTCAAAGCAGTTGCTGGTACTTACCAAAGGAGTGATTAATCACCTCAAACAAGGCAAAGTAATTCACGGTCGTGCTGTCCATGCCAACCTTTGCTGCGATAGCCTAAAGCACAAGTGGAAGGACAGGTCAACATGAGGGAAACTCAATCTGGCAATGCTTAGAGTGGGGGTAGGGAAAGCCCTCTGGCCAATACAAAAATTCACAGCTGGAAAAAATTAATTCCTAAACACTGAGGTCACAGAGTTAAGCTTTGTGTGAACACAAGCACAAAATTTTAGCCATTCAACACAAAGCACCTTTTGGCAATGATGATTGTGCTACTAAAACTGCTTTCTTGGTTTTCTAGGTGTCACAGAGTCCCCCAGCTCCCTCACCCCAGCCAGCCTGGCCAAAGTCACAGGTAAGTTCCCTAAGAAATCATCATCAAGCTCCTCATGAAAACGGCGAAATGCTAGGGGCAGGCCTCCTTCTCAGTCAACCTGAATCTGAGCAGAAGGCTAAGGGGGAGGATGTTGCACATCACACACACTGCCTCTCCCCACTCACTTGAACATTCACTCACACCGTTCACGTGCATTTCTAGCTGGGGTGGGGGTAAGGGTGGAATCCGTAACACCACCGAGCTGGCACACTAAGTCCAGGACTCAGGTACAAATGGCAGGGGCGCCATAGTGCTCAAAGTGACGGGCCTAGAGTCTGGAAGACCTGACTCGTACTAGCTGTGTGGCCCTGAGCAAGTCACTTCATCACCTGTTTGCCTCAGTTTTCTCAACTGTAAAAGGGAGATAATGGTACTGCCCTCCCAGAGTTGTTGGGAGGATCACATCAGATAATATTTCTAAAGTGCTTAGCACTAGAATTGGAACAGAGCAGGCACTTTATAAATGTGTATTCCTTCCCCCTCTTTTCCAAGGCTGGCTGTAAGCTGGGGGTCTCAGAAAACAAGGTCCTTGCAGGAGAAACAGTGAAAGAAAGCAAAAGACAGTCTGTAAAAGTGCATATTTGTTGCCGCCTCTTGTCCACAGTATAGGCACAGAACAAGTGTGGTCCCCCAGACAATGTCAGAGATAAAGCTCCTGCCACTAACAAGGTGGGTTCTGCACAACAGTCCCATTCTTACATCCCCAAGGACGGTCACAGGTGTCCTTGGACTGATCTCGGTAACAGCATGAGCTCCATTTACCTGATACACCTGGTCTGTGGTGCTGTTCTTTTTAACTCGGACCGTCACTGTGGTAGCATCTGGCAAAGCCACTCTCAGTTCGACATCAGAGACGCCATTGTAGTTCTGGGGGAAAACAGACAGAGAATGTGTAGCAGCACCATAACTCTCAGCCTGGAGCACGTGAGTTCAACGATAACCTGAACACGTGAGAAACAGTAAACCACCATTCTCCTACACAGAAATAAGGGAAGTCGTAAAGAGAGGAAATGAAGACATGCTAAAAATCAGTAAATGACAAGCCATGAAGGAGTGCCCTTCAAACTATGGCACAATTCAATCTCAAAGGTCCTTGGAGGAGGGGACCTTAAGGAGATAGGTCAGCATGTCTGCCTCCCTCTTAAGTCAGACTACTTGTAAGACCCACAGCCCCGGGGGGGGGGGGGTCTGTTTCCTTTTTCCAATCAGTTCAGAGCCCAACATTAAAGTAAAAAAACCTCCAGAGGGATTGCTTCAACAAATATTGCTGAAATGCCTGGGTGAGACTTGATGAACAGCTAGCCATATGAACCTGCTTGACCATTAAACAGTGGTTCTTTTAAGGGATTAAGAACTGATATTTGCACATCACAAAATGCTTTACAGTTCCCAAAATGCTTCTGTCCATATTATTCCGTTTAAGACTCACAAACAACCCCATGAGATGGATGGGCACTACAAATATTTTTATCTCAATCTGAAGAAACTAAGGAGATTAAGTGACTTACCCACAGACATATGGTTAATAAAGGTCAAAGGCAGGTTTTGAACCCAGTTCATCTCAACTCCAAGCCAAATAATCCATCCACTATTCCACATTGCCTCAAAAAGGTGAATGAACACTCAGAGATCTGAGCCCTTAAAACATCTGTTCTGACAAAGTGTGGGGAGGAATGACAGGGTGCTTGTGCTTGGACTCCAATTTCTCCCTGGCCCCAGAAACACTCTCTTTGGCAGTTTCCCTACATCCCAAACACCCTATCTTTGGCAATGACTCATAAGTAGGTCCATTGAGGCAAACCATCTCTCCCTGTTACAAGAACAAGGTGACCTCTATAGAATTTCCATTGCATTATCTTGTAAATCTTCCGTTGTACTATCGTGTACTGATTCCCACAGTTATCGTGTACAATCCAAGGGTCAAATTACAGACATCAACTCCTCAAGCTATCTTGTCACAGACATAACAGACCAAAAATATACCCCCTTAGGAATCCCCTCCCCAGTTTCCAGTAGTGAATGACGCAGTTGTAAGTTATCACCTAATTAGCATACTTGGCACATAATCTACTACTTTTCCCATTTAAGCTTTAACATCATTCTTGTTAAGTTGCAGGTTCCTTAAGAATCCTTGCCCAGTGAAAAGAGTAATAATAAACTTTTGCCAATTCAACTTAAAGATTGTTAGAGTTTGTAAATTCATTCCAGATGACCCCATCCTATACTCTGGTCCTTGAGGGGTCAAAATCTCTTGGACCTCAACACTATCTTACCCTCCTAAATTCAAAAGGGACCTTTCTCTACTATAGCTTTTAATGATAATCAACAAATTATTCTACAACTCCATCCTTTAGCTTTTTGTTTGTTTTTTGGGGGAAAACAAAGACGGTATGAGTTCCTTAGTGCTTTTTGTAGCATAAATTAATTTCCCTAGGCTTGGCCAGTAAGACTCATTAACTATTAACTCCTTATTTGTATACTATCAAAATGTAAGAGGTAGATTAAACAGAATTCACACTGTCTCACTCTTCCCCTAACAGAGGAACATGGGGAAGATGACACATAACTAATGGGAGGGACAGGAGAGGGGAGGAGGGGGGAGGGAGCAGTGAGTAAGATGGGAGATCACTGAGAGCTGGGGAGGAGAAAGGAAATGCAAGTCTCTTTCTGAAGTGCTCAGAAGGATTCCTTCTCTTCTGGTGCCTCTTCCCCTAACAAAGGCAATGAGGTTGTCCGTAGCCCCAGCTCTCAGAGTTGGCCAGCCCTTCCTAAAAAATGCTTGGAACAGCAAGAAGTAGAACATGCTGAGGCCCACAAGCATATTGTGGGGAATACCAGTACTTTGGAGGAAAAGGAGAAGCCCATTAATGACCAGCCAAAAAGGTCTACCAGCCCAAAGACACTAATATCCCAGTAAAGGGATCAGGCGATCCTTGGAAGCTGACGGTTTACAAGGCTGCAGATAAATGTGGGTACAAGAGGATGTCATGGCAGCCACAGTGGACAGCCGGGAATGACCTGATTTTCTTGCACTGCGATCCCCTTTGCTGGATCCACCCAACGGTCCTTGAACCCCATTCACTGATGCCCCCTACCCTTCCCTGTCAATGTGATTAACATACCAACAAGGGTTGTCCCAGGTCACTATAAAAGGAAAAGGAGGCGAGGCAGGAGGTGGGTTAAGGAACCCACAGAGTACGTAGAATAAAAAGATGGTGTCACTTGGGATGAAGCTAGTGACATCAATAACAGCTCACTATGCTCATTAATTTGGGCTTTCAAAATATAAATGGTAAAAGCCTTCCAAACATGAATACCTACATCACTGAAACAGCAAGTTGCATTTGAAACATAAAACTGATCTGGAGAGTAGATGGGGAAAAAACACTACAGCTTTCAAATAAAGTAAGGAAAATATTAGGAAAAGGGCCAGAAGCTCTTTCAGCTATCCCAATGGAACTAATCTACTGGTAAAATTAGACTAAAACCTTTAAATTCAAAAATTTTTATATTTCTACATTTAGTTTACCTTTTGCCTTCCATTTTTTTCCTTTAAAACCCCAATCCTGTATCAATTGAACTAAGGAAAGGTCTCCTATAAGACCAGGGGGGTCCGAGTCCTCCTAAAGTTAATGTGTGGAAGGGAGGAGCCATGGAAGAGGGGAAGATGTAAACTCTACAGCTACCTCCATCAGAACTGGGGCACAAGCCCCAGAAAGTGCAACCTCTGGTTAGGGAAAGCTGTGAAATGGCTGGAAATAGGGTTCTTCTCTTTTCACCTGTGGTATTCCCTTTTGGCTTCACTCACATTTAGTGAGTGCCTACCCTCAGTATTCTTGAAAAGAGTGCTGCTGGACTCAGAGTCTGGAGTTCACACTAGTTAAGTAAGCCAGGTCACTTACTAAGGATGTGGCCCCCTCAGCATGCTATGTAACCTCTCTGAGCATGTTTATTCATCTATAAAACGACAGAAGAAAGCATCTAATCTGCCTAACATACTACTGGGAAAAGCAAATGACAAAATATTTTGTCAACCTTACAATTTTAACAATTATTACATGAAAGGTATCAAGGTGTAGCAGAAAGGGCTCTGGTCTTGGAGCTCACTGAGTTCTGGATTCAAACCCACCGAACTGGGGATCTTGGGCAAGTCACTTAACACCTTAGAGTCTCTGTTTCCTACCTCAGACACCTGCCTCTCAGGGAAGTTGTGAGAAAAATGCTTTGACACCTTGAAACACTGTATGAAATGGAGTTATAATAGCTAGCGGAGTAGTATAATAGCTAGGAGAGTAGTAGTAAACCAAAAAGGATTGGAACATGACTACGTGCTTACCATTGCAGGAGAGGCCAAAGGAAAGCTTAAGCTACATCCCACACTCACCAACAAGAGCTAACAATCTTGTTGGAGAAATAAGACACATATGGACTTTTGAGGAGTTGGGGAGGGGAAGCACTAGATGAGGGATTATAAGACAATCCCAGTGAGGAAATCCCTCTACCTGGCAGATCAGCACTTGCTCTGCACCTGGGAGCCTCAGAGATTTGCCTGTGGGCATCGAGAGATTAAAGGACTTACCCAAGGACACACAGTCAACATGTGTCAGAGACTGGACTTGAACCTCAGGTCTTCCTGATTCCAAGACCGGCTCTCTATCCACTATGCCACAGCTGCCTCTTAATAAAATAATCAGAAAATATGGAATATACATTCTCCACTAAAATTCCACTCTAAGACTTCATTATGACAAAGGGATGATATTGATTTCAGTGTCTTAAAGGTAATGCCAGTAGAGCACAAGCTTTGGCAGCTATCACCAAGGTGAAAAAGATTTAGGTAGGGGTCATGTAAGGGACTGTGCTTTTGTTGTTCAAAGATCAGCCCAGCAAAGTTAAGACAAGCAAGTCACCAGAAGACTGGCCACCTGATTAATTTTTTGGGGGAGGAAACACAAAAATTCATAAAGGCTGTCTATTAAGAGTTCCATAGATGGATACCCTCACCAATAAAATTACAGGTCTGTTGAAGTACTGCGACGCATGCACAGTGGATGCTAATATACTAAAGTACTGATCAGTGTGGTGAAGAGGATGTCAGTAAAAAAACAAAGTATTGAGTGTGTGATACAGTCACAGAGAGAGGTCTATGTGGTCTACAGTTGTTAAGGAATGCTTCATGGGTGTGGGGCTTGAGGTGAGCCTTGAAGAACAAGCAGGAGACTGATAGCAAAGAGAGGAGACTGGAGTAGTCTGGGGTATTTTTATAGCAATTATTACAATCCAAAACTGTTATCATGAATTTTTTTTTAAAGAGTGGAGAGTCACTGGGGAGGTTGTCAACCTACCTCATCTGACTCCGAGAGGAACTCTTGCATGATGTCACTCTCACCAATGACTCGTATCGAACATACTATGGAACACAAAGACAGAGCTTGGCATGAGGCCCTGAATTCCAAGGGGAAAGAAACCAAGAAGGCACTTGGGTTTGGCTATGAGGCAGCTCTGGGAGCCCCACCTGGGCAGACAGAATTTTAGAGATGGATGTGGAGCTCCCGGTAGACAGAACATAAGCTTATCTATATGGCTTACAGTAGTCCTGAACATAGAGGAAATGAAATTAGCGAAGTCTAACTTTTCTATCCTTTGCTAGCTATTAGTGAGCTAAAACAACAGGGCTCAGAGAAGAGGAAAAACTAATTCAAGACAAAATTGAAAAAAGGAGGCGTGAAATTCAATTTCAGCTATGATCAGGCTGCAGCCAGAGAGCCCTGGGCATTCAGAGCTGCTTTGCACAAGCACACTGGCCGATTAGGTATGCTGTTGAACGTATCCTTTCACCTAACTTTCTCCTCAAAGCGGAAGGAAAATCACTCCATGATTTAAGGAAGATAATTTCCTGACTCACTCTCATGTGGCTGGTAAATTACCCTGATGATTTTATTCTGATTCGATTAGGAAACTGAATTTGCGAGGCTTTTCTATCAATTATAAGGCAGCTCTATGCCTCATTTTAACCCTTTCACATTTCCCAAGAACCTAGTTTAGAGGCTATTCCATTTTAGAAAAATGATAATGGTGACAGAAATTCACCACCTTCTACAGAGATTTTTCCTCTAGGATAACAATTCACTGTAGAAGTAAAAAAGAAAAACCCAAAAGAAAAAATCCCAACTAGGTCAGTTAGTTCTTATACAAGAATAAAAAAAACTACCATTTACTAAGTAAGACTATTATTCTAGCAATTCTTTAACTAATTTCAAAAGAAAATCCAGTACATAGCTAGCAAACTCTGCAACTCCATCTACCACAGTTGCGGGGGCGGGGGGGAGCAGACTGGGACACTAGGACAGGGTGGAAGTGAGGAGTAAAGGGAGGGACACGTTTAAAAAAAAAAAAAAAGCAAAGAACTGCTTTATATGTTGACTGAGGGCAACAAGGGTTCCTCTAACAGCGACCCAACAGTATCTCAAGGATAGCCACTTTTCCCTTGCAGAATCAAACTGTGTATCTGATTGCATGCATATGTGAGTGTTTGTTGGCAAATAATATAACAAAAGTCCTTCATGCATTAAAAACAAATGTGTGTTGTTGTTAAGTATTTGGCAAGCTAATAAAAACACACTATTAATCATACCACCGAGCAGACATTTCAGTCATACTTCAAAGCTCTCATCATTAAATTCAGTTTAGAAATGTGCTACAGCATATATAACCTATATCAAATTGCTTACCATTTTAGAAAGAGGGGAGGGAGGGAAGGAGAAAAATTTGGAACTCAAAATTTGTAAAAATAATGCTAAAAATTGTCTTTATGTACAGTTAGAAAAAAAATAAAATACTATTTAAAAATGTGCTACAGGCTCACATTCACTGGAGGCCACTGCCCACAGTCTAGGGAGCTAGTTATAGAAAGCTCAGCTGGGGTGCATGAAAGCATCAAGGTGACCCCAAGCTATGTGGAAGCTCCAGACGTTTGTCTTGAGAACCATCCTACCTTTCTCCAGGTACTCCTCTAACCCACGACGTCGGGCATCCAACTGCTGTTCTGATAATGAAAACGGCCACTTCCCTGGCAGGCGAGGAAAAGTAAAGTTGGCAAACTCTCGTTTAAGGTTCTGGTGCAGGATTGCAAACTCCCGGTACCGCTTAGAGCACAGCTGCCTTCCCGCCATGTAAACATTGTACACCTGGTCAGAGGAAAGCAAAGGAAAATGCATTTATCACAAAAGCAAAAAAACCAGTCATGTCAGAGTTAGATTGGTATTGGCTACATCCAGCCAACCTAGCACTAGTCACCAACAGCGCTTTCTTTATGAAAGGCAGGCTTCTCCATCCCTTTACAATATGGGAGCAGATCCAATAGCGACAACAAAACCCATGTCAGTGGTCTTTTCTCAGTCCTCGTTTTCCCAGCATTTGACGCTGCCTGACCACCTCCTTTTTGTTTTATTCTTTTTCATCTCTTGGTTTCACAGAATACTATGGGGTTGAGCCAGTACTTCTCAAAGACCATCTACTCCAACCTTTCTAGTAATACTTGTACTTTTCATGGTTCTTTTCCTAGCTCTGATTGTTCCATTTCAATCCCATCCTTTTCCTCCTATTCCCTTAATAAATATGGGCAACCTACAAGGGTCTGCCCTTGGGTCTGTGCTCTCCTAGCTCTAGTCCAACCTGATTGCCTTTACTTCTACAGCTTCAAATCACCTCCATGCACATGAACTTCAAAATCTGTATCCCCAACTTTTTATCTCCCATGAGAGATATACTCCCACATTTCCAACTTTACGCTGAACATCTCCACAAGAATGTGTGTCATGCTGGCAGCTCAAACTCAACACATACAAAACTGAATTCATCACATCCCCACCTATATTTGCTTCTTTTACCTTCTCTGTAGACTGTTGATAATGCCACTACTCTCCAGGTCACCCACACTTAAAACTCTGGAATCCTCTACCACTCTTCCTTCTCCCTAATTCCTCACACCCAATCAGTTCCCAAGTTCTATTAATTCTGATCCTGCAATCTCTCTCACAGTCTCTTCTCTCTTTTAATGCAGACCTTCATCATCTCTTGTCTAGGCCCCCTAACTGGTTTCCCTGCCTCCAGTTCTCTCCCATTCACCCACCCATTCACCCAAGAATCTCCTAAGACCCAGGCCCATAAACCTGGCTCACAGGCCTTCAATGGCTGCCCAAAAAAAACACACAAATGCTGCCAGGCATTTAAGGCTCTCCATAATCTAGCTCTGTTCTAGTCTCCCTGGCATATTTCACACTATTCCCTACAATTCCTCTATATGACTACTAGCCATTCTGATTTAGTCCTGTCCTTCCCCATTCCTCTGGGTTTGCAAAGGCCATTCATTCCTTGTGCTTGGAATGGACTTCCTAACACCTCGCTACCTGTTGAAATCCTTCTGTCCTTCAAGTTCAAATGCCAACTCCAAGATTTCACTGATCTCCCCCAGGCAGAAGTGATCATATCTTCTCTGCAATTTTTCATCCTTCTTGAACTCTTACACAACAATAACAGCTGGCATTTATACAGTGTTTTAAGGCTTATAAAGCATTTACACATACCATCTCAAAACAAAGCCTCCAAACAACCCTGAGAGGTAGATGCCATTATCCCCATTTTACAGATGAGGAAACTGAGGCAGAGGTTAAGTGACTTGTCCAGGGTCACACAGTAAGTGTCTGAGGTAGGATTTGAATTCAAGTTTTCCTGATACCATGTCCAGTGCTCTATCCACTGTGTTACCTCACTGTCTAATCTGTATCATAGATATCTGTCTTCTGTATACAGCTTATCCCTTCACTAGACTATAAGCAATCTGAAGGCAGGGTTATACCATTTCTTAGTATTCCCAAGGTCTACTACAGGGACCTGCATATAGTAGGTACTTAATAAACGTTCATTCTGTTAAATTATATAATACAACATTGCTGATTTTTTTTTTCGGTCTAGTTTGGATGTAATTGTTTTTGAGGCCGTGTTCATATTATGTAAGCTGGAAGAGCAGCAGCCACTCACAGGCCCATTCCAATGTGACTGGCCTGGAAGCTTTGCCATTCCTACTCCACTTCCAGTTCATCCCCCCTTGGGCAGCCCGGCTCCCAGGGCCAGTGTACTATACGGGTGCCAGACTTAGCACAGACACCTGACTGGCCTAGGCCACTACAACTTGGAACTCCCAAGCTCCACAAAATCCACAAGCCTTCATCTCCCCAGCAGCACAGATGAGATGTAACACCGGGCCTAGCATGCATGATTTTTTTAAACAAATATATCAGAATGTACACAACCAAATGAGTGTTACATTCTAGTATGCTACATACTTAACTCTAATCATTAAGGTTCTAAGGATGCCTTGATATTTTTTTAACTGCTTTTTTGAAACCACCAGTTGTGTAGCAGCTTGACTATCTCAAGCAACAGCAAATATTCATTCTTTGGAGGTAAACCCACTTTTTAGAAATGGCCAAGTCAGGTAAATAAAGGCAGGTTGTTCAAGGTTGATAATTCCGTTTTGAGTAAACAACACATTCCTTGAGTGCAAGGAACGTTTTGGTTTTTCCTAGTACCCCTAGCACCTAGCATAGTGCCTGCCACACAGCAGTTACTCAATAGATGCTTGAATTGAAATGACATAATAAGACTTATTTTGTTATATGGCTTATAAACTAGCGCTGGAGACAATTTCAAAAGTTTTAAAAAGTCTTGAGTAATGGCAACATGGTTAAGTATATCACCTCCCAAAACGACTTACTCTGAAAGACATATCTCATTTGGGCATTAAAGTTCTGGTACATTCTTCAAAAAGCCAGACCCATTATTTGATGGTCACAATTCATGTAATAAGAAAGAACTTAATGGTAGCCTGGGAATAGTTTTATCTGAAAGATCATGTAGGAATATTTAGTTCTACCACCTAATTCAATTACTTGAACAATTCTTGAAAATCTCAAAAGATTATACCAACTCCTTTATAGAAGACTATTCTAGAATTTTACAATCCCAACTTTAAACTATAAACTACTCTAATGCATTTCATTTATTAATCCAATCCTTATATGCTTAGTAAAATGTCACTGTGCCACATGTGTTAATGGATGATAAAGGTGGTAGCTATTAAGTTACTGATATTCAAGAAGGCGTAAGTCCTAAAGTCCTCCGTTCCCCAAGAGATTATGGGCATATTTTGGTCAAATTCAAAAAGCAAACCAAGCCTGCCAGTTTTGTCTGAGGGCTATAAGATATTTACTCACGAATCCTGACAAAAGACTTTCAAACAAGAATGCTCCTCAGTTTAAGGATTACCAACTAAGTCACTGAAAGAAGAGATGATCTGTCCTTTACAAAATAATGAGCGCAATCAGACCGAGCTGAGGCCACATCCAAAACCTGATCCTTACATTAGCCTTCTTCACAGCCAGTCCCCTAATGCAACACATACACTTCACAGGCCAGCTGACTACAGAAGGCAACTCAAGCCATCTTCTGTATGAGGCTGGATTCCTCCAGCTGCTAGGATCGTCCCCAAAGTTACCTGCTAATTGTTTTATATGTACCTACATATGAGAAAGTTAGCTTTACTGTTAAAACATAAGATCTTAGCGGAAGAAAATCTGTTTCACTTTTTTCTGTGTCCTCAGCACCTACCCCAGTGCCCAAGCATTTAATAAATGCTTGCTGACTAACATGGACCAAGGCCTCTGACTCCAAATCCAACGCTCTGGCCATTGCACATTTTCTTTCCTGTCTTTACTTTGCTCTAAAATAAAGAAGATGCAAATTGAGGCCTGTTATCAAGTGAACCATTTTTTTTAAAAGCCTTTCACATTTTCCCCTTTGTATCTACAGTACTTAGCACAGTGCATGACACACAATAGGTTGTTTTTGTTCAGGTGTGTCCAACTCCATGTGACCCTGCAGACTTTTTTCCATGGGGTTTTCTTGGCAAAGATACTGGAGTAGTTTGCCACATCCTTCTCCAGGGTGTCCCATTTTACACACTAGGAACTGAGGCAAATAGGGGTTAAGTGACTTGCCCAGGGTCACAGAGCTAGTCATTGTCTGAGGCCGGATTTGAACTCAAATCTTTCTTACTCCAGGACCAATGCTCTATCCACTGTAACACCAATTAATAATAAATGTTTACTGATTCATTCCTCCAATCACATCTTTGTTTCCATTTCCAAAACTAAAGTCAAGTCTAGTTAGCAGCTCTATGTGATGCCCACTTGCACCACTTTTGTAGTATTGGAAATTCTAGCAATTATAAGAAGACAGGAAAAAAAATTAGAGAAACTAATATTAGAAATAAAGAGGTCAAAATAGTAAATCAACTGCTTCAACCAAAAAAAAAATTAAGAGGTGGTGAGTCCAGCAAAATCAGAGGACACAAAGTTAGCCCACAAAATCATCTGCATCCCTACTTAGTAATAATTAAAAAATAATAGAAAAGAAACCCCACTTATAACAACAAAAACCATCAGATATTTGGGAATTAACCTACCTAGAAATATCTTCGTAAGGACAATTCTAAAACTACAATCACCAAAAAAGGGAAGACAAATAAATTCAATGCTTATAAATGGGTCTGATTAACATAGTAAAAATGACAATATTTCCTAAATTTATGTTTTTAATGCAACACCAATCAAGACATCAAATGGCTTTTTCATAGCACTAAATTAAAACATACTGAAATGTATATGGAAAAACAAGTGGAAAAGAAAATCATGGGCAAAATTAAGCAAAAAGCTGATGGAGATGATGTTGTGTTCTCCAGACTTCAAAACATACTACCAAACGAATTATCACAACCGGAAGTGTCAAACATAGCCCACAACATTCCCTAACACAGCTCAACTAGATTAAAATATAACTGGGAAACACTTAACAAAATAAATAAAAATAAAACAGACTATATTGATGTGCGGTTCTCTAGGTCAATCTGTAGCCCACAGGGATCCTTACACAGTTTTGGGTGGCCCCTATTTCTATTTGAACTTTGTATCACTGATCAAAACTATTTTTTTCTGTATCAAAAAAAAAAGGAATGGATATATGGACCAGGACAGATCCACCAAGCCACTAACTAAAGATATACAAAAGCTTGGTTGGCACCTCTCATCAGTGGTATAGAAAGCTGATGGGCAACGGATATAATTTGGGT